ATAGTAGCTAGCAAGGTAGTTCGCAATCAACCTCGGTCTGGAAGAGAATTCTTATCGACTGTATACTAGTGTAGGTATTTTTCCATTGTTTCCCCTATCGGTATTAGGCGAATGCCAGAGCAGTACCTTAAAAACGGGCCACGGACTGTGCCTAACCTTTTTTCCTTACACACACACACACACACACGCACATGAATGCACTACTTTACTACACAGAGACGAAACCAATCCGGAGCGATAACGGCACAAATCCTTTTTTCATCGTATTCAAGCACATTATTAATACTTTTCTGTTCTCCTGAAGTGCAGATCCTTATTAACAAGTTTTAAAACACTTCTTAACTGCCAAAAAGGTCCAAAAAATAATTCTAGTTTTAATTACACGATATAAATGATCCAATATTAACTAAACTTACTCTAATGTTGACAATGTATGTCTAGAGTATCAAAACACCATTTTAGCTGCTCTCCTTATCGTATTGCCCCCGCCTTCCCACTCATCTTATTAGATAACATAGCATATTTTCTTCTTGGTCATTCTCGTTTTAAAAACCGTACCAGCTCTGTCGTCTGTTATTTTCATCTTCACCATGCACATCATTCATATTGCTTTTTACAATGTAGCGTACCGGTGGACTAGCCTTGCATTGCTTTTGAATTCGTGGAACTAGAGATCTCAAGTTTACAAACATTGTCGCTTGCAAGACCCATATTCTTCAGGTCTTTTCTACCGGTGGTTCATTGTCTTCTATATCTCTCCGGTGCCCTGATCCGCATTCATACAGACGCATTCCCTCTACTCTCGTTGTCGGGCTTGATACCTATATTCTCCGTTTCACCGATTCGCTATTCCTGGCCCTTTCATTTTCACGTCAGGCCAAGCTGCTTTGCGGATCAACTGACCTTTCCTAACGTCACTATCGACTTGTTAGTGCGGTACACAAAGCCTTGGGATAAATAGTACAGATACCGCTCTTGTGTATACCAACTCTTCTCATAATATGCTCCAAACAATTCCTATGAACTTGACGCTCTCCGCTTACGTAACGGATACTAATAATGTCGGATTATATGTGGAGGTTTCCCCGCTAGTGTTGCTGCGTCACAAGAGATCATAGTTTGTCTGTGACGTTTCATAAACATGTTTCAAAACGTTGAAAATTAATTATCTCGCTGAAAGTCATTTAGAAACTACAAATTAAACAATCCAGTTGTGCAAAAATTAAGAATAATGTACAGAACAATGTATTTAATTCTTTAGCAGTTTTAGTTGGGTTGAAATTAATTAAGGAAATTTTAATATCATTTTAAAAGGTAACGAAACGAAATCATGCTGGTCGATCATAAAAAATAGTAATATATTCTCCAAGAAAATAATTTTACAAAACATGTTCGTAGAGAACATCTCACTTTGGTGAAAATTTGTGTCTAAATTCACAATTTATCACATGGTTTTGATTAGAAAATACAAAAGCTACTCGAAAACATGCAACCGGAAAATGAAACATGCAAATGTTTCTTTTATTCTGTAATAACTAAGGTAATAACTATGTATAGAGAAATATATTTAGATCGTGAATATCCATTTGAACCTTCGATATTAATGTCAATCTCCACAACTCATACGAAATTAAATTTTTGAGTTTTATAATCGAAGGACTTATCGCCCTTAAAAGATGTGACAAGCAAATCCTCCCGAGCACATAATAAGGCATTCTCACGACGCAATATCCCCACG